GGGGGGAAGGGGGGAACACAGGCAGAGGGGGCCACAGCTTGGGGGGGGGGGGGGAGGAGAGCAGGGGGCTGCCGCTGCTGCGCACACCCAGGGGTGGGGGCAGGGAGGGGTGTGTGCCCCCAGATCTGCACAGGACAAACAGATGGGCTGCAACTATGGGTTGAAGCCAGGCTTTTCTCGCTGGGGGCTGGGCCTTCTGAGGGTGCTGCAGCCACCCCAAAATTTCACCGTAGCTCCCTACCAGCACCACCGCCGCCATATGCCCGGCGCAGCCCCGGCTCAACGCCCATCTCCCCCACGCAGGACAGAGGCACAGCTCGTTGGGGCTGGGGGTGCTCCTTCCCAGCACTGCTGCCGCAGCCCTGGCTCTTTCCAGCACATGGGGAAAGGTGGGGGTTGAACTGGAAAAAGCTGGGCTGCACTGGGTGCATGGCAACGCTGGGAGGGAGCTACGGTGAAATTTGGACCTGTGCACATTGACTGATCGCAGGATGATCATGAGCTGCCAGTGCAAGACTGTTGAGAAAAAAAAAGCTCATGCAAGGGTGTATTAGGTGTGGTATATGCAAGAGAGACAAGGTAGTACTAATACCACTGCAGAAGGCAATGATAAGACCCTAGTTAGGATACTCTGTGCAGCTCTAGTCACCAAAGTTCAAAAAAGATTAACCTGCAGTGGAACAGTTCAAAGGAGAGTCCTTAAAATAGCTTAAGCTTGGCTTGTTTAATTTAGCAAAATGGGAAACTGGAGAGAAGATTTAATCACTTTTTATACATACATTTGTGGGGTAAGCATCGGAGATGAGGAAGAGCTTTAGGGGCTGAAAAACAGCACTGGCACAAGATCAAAAGGCTACAAACTGGCTATGGATAACATCAGACTGGAAATTAGAAAAGATTGCTAACTATCACAAGTCTAGTCTTGGAATACTCTTCCAAGCAAAGTGGCATGGGCAAGAAACTTGAATCTATTTAAGATGGAACTGGATTGGAAGGGAGTTGTGGCACACCACTCTGTGATGCAGGGCCATGGATCTGCCGGGCCAGCTGGGGGCAAAAACGTAGCTCCTGAACATGTGGGAGGCCCCTCATAAACCCCCACCTCAGGACTTTTGCCAATTCCTAGTCAAGACTGGTTAAGAAATTTCACCTTTCAGAAGCTACTGCCTTCTCTCTAAGGAGGTGGGCCACAGCTAAGCCTGGGGGTCTTAGACAGGGATGTGCTCATGCTTATGCCATTATTTAGACAACCCAGAGGTTCTTAGCTAAAGTTTTCCACTCAGGTCATGCCAATCACAAAAACTCAGGTTATGATGCAGATTTTCCCCTAACTCAGTTTGGCACAGACTATTGTGGGTTTTTACCTTCCTTAGTAGCATGAGGCATGGGTATTTACCCTAGGATCTTCTGAGTATATACACTAATGAACTACTTCGCCATTGCTGCAGCAGTAGTGCATTGATAGGGCCCTTGTCTCCCCTGCTTTTACCAATGACATATAGTAGGGTATTTATTGTTCAGGTATTTGTCTGATTGTGGGTGAAGGTTTGAAGTGTTGATTTAGGGGATTCCTTCAGCTGGCAACTATCTGCAAACAGAGAGGACTAGACTGTGGCCCAGGAAGACCTTCCAGTCCTATTTTCTAAAAGGAATAGGAATTTAGGTATGAGACATAGACAAGGGAACTAGTGAGGGCTGCTTCAGCCTGGCTCACCCTGCTGTGGTCCCTGGTCCATGTTCAGGTGGTGTGCTTGGGACCAATAAACTCCAGTGCAGTAAGTGCTGTGGTTTATTGCTGTATGCTAATAGCTTGTATAGACGCACACAGTTAACTGTAGAGAGTTCTTAGGTTAGCTCTATAATGCTCTTCATAAAACAGATTTTAGCTATTCTTCATCTTCCCCTTAAGTGTATTTTTATGGCAACAGACCAGCACCTAAAAAATACAAAATACGCGTCTTGAGAATTCCATCTTCATAGGAGCATCATATTGAATATTTTAGTTTTAGAAGAAGTTGATGCTGCCATTTAAAGAATTCTGGATCACTTTCTACACTGCTCTGGCACTATTAACATTTTAACCATTGGAGCTTTTAGCAGTAATTTTCTAAAGGATGCTTTTGTTTTTACCAAGCCCTACATTTTGTTCCTTGCAGGGTGCTTCAGTGTCTTAGAACAGCAGGGGGTGGCACTTTGATGTCTCCTACCTGTTTTTATGGTATTCAGTAACACTGGCCTGTTGCTGGTCAGCATGCCAGCCCAGGACTACTCTTACCTGGCTCAACATGCTATAGGGGGACTGGCTGGGGCATGAGGGTGTTCCAGTGCTGGGCCAGCCAACAGGAAGCCCCCACACTGAGGCACAACTGTGGCCCTGCCAACCAGGTCAGCATCTACATGTGCATTACTACACATGACAAAACAATGCAGCAGAGTAGTACTACACAGCAGGGCCACATGTGTAGACATGAGACATTTACTGCAGAGCTAAATAGTGTACTCCACAATAAATGTCTTCTGTAGACCACTGTAACCTTAAAAAAACCCAACCAAACAAAAAAAATAAACCCCCATGGAGCTTAGACCCGAAGTCTCATGACATGTTTACTATTGGTCCAGCAAGCAAGAGAGTTACCAGGTTTTCCAAACTAAACGTTAAAAGTTTAAAAATAATTAGCCTATACAATATAGCTGTGTTCTGATAAAGATTTTATCAAATACGATAAGAGGCAGACTAATAATTCTTTAAGCTCAGTTGGTAAAACTGACTGCATTACCATCCTGTTGATAGAAATTTACTATCATAAAGCTTTTAAAATTTAGACTATCATTCTAAGAAATCTGTGGAAGAGCTGGCAGTTACCAGTCATTTTTACTAGGGACTCCGCCCTGCAAAGATTTTTAAACACATTTAAAATTAAGCCTTTGAGTTGTACCTTTTGAGTTCAGAGCCTGGGTAACAATTAAAGACCAATTTCTATAACAAGATTCACGTGGGCAGACACCAGAGATGCTGAGCACTTATAGCCAACTGGATGGAAGCTGCATGTCATGAATTTTAGTGTCTCTATAACAACTAATTTCAAGGGCAACTATTGTACTTACTCAAATCCAAGATGAGTTTTTTTCCCCATTCAACATGAACAGGGATCTGGGTTTTCCATTCACCACTGAAAAAAGGCACTAAAACCTGGATTCTCTCATTTTAAAGAGAAACAAAATCACAGGAAATGGTGGGTTTCCCCTTTCAGGCTGGCACAGTTCCAGGCTGCAAGGGGCTGGGTGAAGTAGGAGGAGGACAGGCAGGCAGGGGGCGCCATGTAGCTCAAAGAGCAGCTCCCACAGGTAAATCTGGCAGGGGGGGTGGTAATTGAGGAACCATCACCTCCCACAGGCAGCAGCACAGGTGCTGCTGAGTGGGGCAGGGGGCATCCTCTGGCAGGGCTGAGGGGGCTGTGGGTGGCAAGTGAGGGGTTTTTAGTTAGAGAATTTGCATTTTTTTTTTTTTTTTTTTTT